AGTGTATTTAGAAAGGAATGCAGATTACTTACCAAATGGGCACACATGACTGCCAATGATGACACTGTTAATAGTACGCTAGAACAACTAGATATAAACTACTGTGCACGTAGGAGAGGAGTGAAGACATGGCAGAGTTTCTTAAGGAGGACGGAAGCAGGAAAGGAGCAATAAATCTTGATTATGTAGGGGGAATGACTGCTGCAATAGAAGTGTGAAGAACCAGAAGATTGGAGGTTGAGGGGTCTGAGCATTAGCTTCAGGGAATTGCAGTATTTCATGGTGAGCCCGGATTAGAATGACATCTTAAAGTAGAGCAGGGGGGATGAGGTGATAGAGGAGTTTTGAAGCTCTCATGTTTAAATTGCTTGTCTACATGATGAATGTAAGGATATGAAACGCGGTACCACAGCTTTCAAAGACTTTGAGTTAGGGATCATGCTGATGGCAAGTGGCAGGTATCAGAAAACATGACAAGTTGCTAGATGATGGAAATAAATATGAGACCCAGACGTATGAGAGTGTCCACTGGAGGCCAAGCTGTCTGGACAAAATCTCAGAAGATGCAAGCATTGATGTAGCTTTGCCTACCAACAAAGAACTGCAATCCTGACCAATATGATTACTGCGTCATTGTTGATTAAACTTGTCCCTAATGTCTGTGTAATAAAAATGATATTGAAATTTGTTCCTGTGCTGTGAAAAAGAGAACTAAACAAGTTTATGATAGCTAAAGCCAATAGAAGAGAAATTTCCACATGACAAGTACTCTGGGGTAGGTGTCAGCATTGTTCCTCTTGTTTCATCATTTCTCATTAAGCACAGAAGAAAATACATTTGTCTTTTCTTCTCATTATCCTGAAGGGTCTTATGTAATATTCTCCTAGGGAGCTGTGCTTAAACAAGCCATGAATACACAAGTAATAATAAAGAATGGACCGAGACGGTAGAAGAAGGAAAATAGAGTTGATGGCAAGCCAAGAGCAGGGTGGAGTGCACAAGAGGCTCAGATAGCAAGGTAGGCCCCTTAAGTAAACATCAATGAAGCTGCTGTAGAAAGAGCACTTCCCATATCAAAAGTGTATCGAGAGAAAACAATCACAAGATCAGCATCTACCGTTGCACAGGAAGCAACGGTATAACTTACTCATTGTTCCCAAGTGGTTTTTTTCATCCTTCCCTAACAAGCGTTATACATTGTCAGCTCCACTGATAGTATGTTTGCTTGGAGGAGATGAGCAGCTGTGATGTAGAGAGATGCATTTGAGGTATCTCAGATATTTCCCAGCAATCCAGCTTATCCAGCTTTCTCATGACATGTCTTCAAGAGTGGTCCTTTTACCTAGGTTCCAGAATGATAGACAAGGACAAATGCTTAGTAGATCACTCATAGTTATATAAATAACAATTAATCATTTGGATATTGAAATCATCTGTGCTTTGGAAATTCTACCTCAGCAAAACTGGCCACACTGAAATTATCGCAAAAGGTGTATACTAATATATAAGTATTATATTAGTCTTATGTTAAAATGACATAAAGAGAGAGTAACTCTCATTGAAGGGTAGAAAAAAAGATTCAGATTATATTTTGCCAAATATTTGGTAAAATTATTGTTAACAATAGTTTAGAAAAAGTGATAAACTTCTGGATTCAGAGGAACAGATTGTGGAGAAAAATTCTTTATTGTACCATTATTATCATTTTTCTTAATTAGTCAGCACTTTAATTTTTCAACAGTTAAGGTTAGGACATGGCAGGTCAATACAGAAGAAGAGGAAGGGAGAGGATAAAATGACAATATCTTTGAACAAGTCATAGGAATCCTGTTATTATTTATTCATCTAAATTTGCATCTAGTCCATGGAAGGTTATGTGTGTATATACACATATTTAGTTTAAATGCTGTTACCCCACTTGGCTAGACAATAATATACCTAAGAGTCATAGACTATCTAACAAAATCCTAAACATCAGGCACGAGAAACTCCCTTTTAAGTTGATGAGAGGAATCCAAGATATCCTTCAATCAATATAGATTATTGTTCTTGTTTTTGGTTACCACTTAGAAATTGAAAGTAAGTCCCCATGGCTAATGATACCATGCACTTAGGACATAGGACTCAGACAATTCAAACTAGATCTGAATTGAAAGACTCTTCCCTGAAGACTGACTTTCATAGTGCATGAATCTGCTGTAGAAGCTGCCAAGGGAGGGAACAACCAACACTTCCTACCCAGAAGTGACCACTATGAACCACAACAATTATCAGCATGGCATAAAAGCCTTAAGAGTTCAAGAGCAGCACTCATATCTTGGGCATAATCAACAACTGTATAACTGGACTTAACACCACTAGATAGGAGTACTGGAAACCTAAGCAACTAATGAGGTCATGATTCTTAAAAAGAGGACCTATTACTGCCACTTAATAAACCACCATAATTTGAAGACCATTACAGAAAACTACAACTGGTCCAAATGCAGAGAACAGCTTCATACACACACACACACACACACACACACACACACACACACACACCACCTATGCCAAAGGCTCAGGGAACACTTCAGAACAGAGGCAAAAAGATTGGATAGCCAAAGGACCTAGAAATATGTGTGAGAATGTGTCTCCTAGAAAAGAACTGGAAGCTTCACCCATTGATACCTTAACAACATGGCTTTTGGTCAAAAGCGACATCAACAGAAATGCTAGCATGGAAGGGGGAGGTCTCATAGGGTCCTAACTCTAGACAAAGAGCTATAGGCAATAAAGGAACACTAAGAACAGGATAAACAGTCTTCCTCGGATAAGACCCCTAACTGGTCACCTACACAAAGTAGTCAGACCTGAAATCATATGCATGAAAACATCACTAATCAAATTAAGCATACTGTGTTTATATATAATTTAATGTCAAATACTATTAAATTTAAATATATTAAATTAAAAGAAGCCATGCATTTGAAAGGAATAGAGTTGGGGGTACATGGAAGGAATTGTAGGGAAGAAACAGGGCACAAACACCTAGTGCCCATGTTGAACAATGCTTCCTTTTCTTTTCATTAATGAATTTTTTTACATCTGTGAAATTCTCTGCTCCTGATTACAAGGCTGATTCCAGGCCTTAATGTCATTCCTTGGAAGACAGGAAGTCTCCAGGAGAAGATGGTGGAACACCTGCAGATCCTCTTTGTTTTCTCCAGAGAATTTTGTAAGTGCTCCTCAGAATACCAATGAAGGAAGAGAATTAAAGTTGGATGTCGACAAGGGCACACAACATCTGTTCTGAGAGAAGTAATGAGCAGAAAAATGTCTTCTCTTTAGAGTACTAACTCACTTAACTTGCAGAGCCTCAGCCATACAATGAGGGGATCTTTCTGGGTTGCCTCTAACCTGCAGAGAATAAATCTTGCTTCTGCTCTCAGCATGCTTTGAAAGACCTGTTTCTATACTAGGAGTTCGGGGCTCAAAGAAAAGTGAGTATGAAAAAGAAATGTGTCTGCAAAGCTAAAAGTATTACTAACTTAATGTTACGTGCTCATTCAGGAAATTACATCTCAACATGATTAAAGGTATCAATTCACCCACCACACTGATATCTTTTTTTGTCCATTCAAAAATTTATACTTCCTCCTCTCCTTCCATTCCCCTCCTGCTCCCCCACTCACCCTCCTACCTCCCCCTCCCTCCTTAAGAGAGAGCAGGGAACCCTACCCTGTGGGAAGTCCAAGGCCCTCCCCCCTACATCCAGGCCTAGGAAGCTTTGCATCCAAATAGACTAGGGTACCAAAAAGCCAGTACATGCAGTAGAAACAAGTCCCACCAATGTCAAACACATTCAGAGAGCCCGGTTTGATTGCATGCTCATTCAGTCCCGGTCCAGCTGGATTTGGTGAGCTCCCATTACAACAGGCACACTGTGATATCTTTATAAATACTAAATATTACATTTTTACAAATAACTGAGAATTTTATACATTGTTTTTTCTTCTTTAATTTACTCCATTTTGTAGCTGGAGAGATGGCTTAGCAGTTAAGGGCACTTACTACTTGCTTGTCTAGAAGACCTGAGCTCACTTCCCAGCACAACAATGGCTGATTCATGACCACTTGTAGCTCCAGCTTTAGGGAATTCAGACTTTTTTTTAAGCTACCATTAGTGGTTAAAAAAAATTAAAACATACAACATCTCCCCTCAAAAAAAAAAAAAAAGCCCTGCACATCATTCCTTTCACAAAGGGTACAAACAGCATGCATTCACTTTCAGCCAGGTGGGATTATGTGATCACATGCTTACCTCTGATTATATTAAACTGGACAGGTTATGCAAATTAATTCAAGTCAGAGTTTTATGAATTTTCAGGACCACATTTGAAGAGGGGAAGTAAACCATACAAGCATTACAGATTCAGTTTTATCTTCCTGCATTTAACTATATAAGGGCTCTTGTTTAAAGGAGGGTCAACCCCACCACAGCCCTGGAGTGGATTAAAGATCAGAAATTGGCTCCATATCTAAGTGTCTTTTCTGCCACAGCATTTATTAAAGTACCACAAGGACAGCACTCTTTCTTTCTCTCTCTCTCTCTTTCCCTCTGTGTGTGTATATGTGTGTATGTGTGTGTACTTGTTTCTCTCTGCCTCTGTGTATGTGTGTCTGTCTGTCTCTTTCTCTCTGTCACTGTGTGTGTATTTGTCTCCCTCTCTGTCTCTCTGTATGTGTGCATCTGTCTGTCTGTCTGTCTGTCTGTTTGTCTCTCTCTCTCTCTCTCTCTCTCTCTCTCTCTCTCTCTCTCTCTCATACACACACACACACACACAATTTATACACAAATAACAGAGATAACAGAGAGGAATTAAAACATATGACAAACAGGAAATAATGTTAAAGAAATTTAGGCTTTATTGAAAAGTAAAATTATAAATTTTCCTACATGTTAGTGCCCTGGGGTTTTATAAGAAAATGACCCAAAATGAGCCAGCTAGCCAAAATTCTTAATAGAAACCGGAAAATCTTCCATAGCAGCATGGACGATAGGTGCTGTATGCATATCGAGAGCCACAGCCACAGCCATAGCCTAGTCCACCTAGTCCACCATAGCCATAGCCCAGGACGCCAGAGCCGTAGCCCAGGCCACCATAGCCATAACCCAGGCCACCATAGCCATAGCCCAGGACGCCAGAGCCGTAGCCCAGGCCACCAAAGTAGTTTCCGTAGTACATGCTGTCAAGAATGGGAGTTTCCTCGAGGCAGACCAGGAGCTTCTGGAGTATGAATCTGCTAAGCAGGTGTGATCCTTTTATACAGCCTGGATGGCATGTGAGGCCAACCACAGAGTCCTCCAAACTCATTACCATGAAAGGAAAGAACAAGTCCACCCTCCACAAACATCCTGACCATGTGTCTGAGACGGTATGGTCAGGATTTCTAAAAGCTGAGGTCATGAGCCTATTGGCCACAGGCATCTCTGCTGCTCACAGATGGCTTGTTCAAAACTCCAGATAGGAAACTGTTGAGAGTCCACGCACGGTGCCAGAAAAGAAATCAAAAGATTTCTTTTCCAATAAGATTCTGTTACTCCTTAAAGTTAGCCTGTTTATACCTCTAGTTAGGACTATTCCTTGTGTATCTGAGAAATGTTTCTGCTGATAACTTCCTTCGGTACACATTACAATGTGCAGGCAGAGATGTATCAAAATGAACAGAATCTTACTCCTCCTTGATGCCTGTTTCCTCAGAAGGAAATGCCTGAGCAGTTCTTCCCTTCGTCTACTTTAGGCTTAAGTTTCATCCATACCTTTCTTGCTTTTTCTTTTTTTTTCTTTCTTTTTTTTAATTTTTAAAATTTTTTTTTCATTCAAAAAATTTTCACTTCCTCCCCTCCTCCCATTCCCTCCTGCTTTCCCACTCACCCTCCTCCCTCCCACTCCCTCCTTAAGAGAGGGCAGGGTACCATGCCCTGTGGGAAGTCCAAGGCCGTCCCCCCCTCCATCTTGCTTTTTCTTTATTTTATATGGTACTGAAATCCTCATTTCCTATCAAAATAGGAACTTGTACACAGTTCTAGTTAAGGATTTCCTGACACCCTGCATCTTCACTTCCATTGACTTCCAGGTCATCAATGTGTTTTCCTCTATTCTTTGCCTTTACTTTGAAGAATTTATATGTGTACTGTGTTTACATGCTTACCCTACCCCTTCCCCTGTTCAACTCCTGCTTACCAACTCCCTCTCATGAGTTCTTTTTCTTTAATTTTTTTTATTTTATTTTATATGTGTATGTATATGTACAGATATACATACAAGCTTCTGGGTGTATTTAGTGTTGGCTGTACATGTAAGTGTTTAGGCTGATCGCTGGCATTTAATATCTCCACAGCAAGCTGGTCCCTTTAGAAGACTGAATCTTCCTCTCTCAGCATTCATTGTCTGTAGCTTTTCACCTATGGGTGGGAGCATGGGAGATTTCCCCTCTCCATATTGATGTATCCATTGGTGTTGTCATAGCACTGTCTCACAGGGAAACCATGTTTTTGATATTTCATAAGTATAGCTTCCTTGTTAGATATTTAAGACATTATCAGAAGGTAGACATTCTCTTTCCATCCAGCCCTCCATAGAGAGCTAAAGCAAAAGAAAATCATTCATTTGTTCTTACTTCATTCACCTACTCATCAACTTTTCATCAAGGGTCTCCCATTGCCAAAAATGTTACATGAAATCAAGGCAAAACATATGAAGAACAGTCTCTGTTTTATAAAGGTAACAAATGAGACAAAAGAGACAAGGAGAAAGACTGTAAGAATCATTTAGGCCAATTCTATTCTTTATGGATACTACAAAGATAATAAAACTCAGTGAATTTCATTAAGTTTACAAAGTTCCTAGGGGTCAACTCAAATAAGATGAACTTAAATCTTGTCTCTGAGTGTTAAATTTTATATTACTTAGAAATTAGAGTCAAGAGTGAAAATTACAATATTAATATTGTTATATTTGTGGAGGGAAATATGTCCAAAGTGAATTATATACTCATATGAAAATATCTTTTTTAAAGTCTGTCACTACTGATAATGACTAAAAATCAATATAAACTGTATATTAAAAGAAGCTAATATGATTTCAGTATTACAAATAATTAGGAAAGCCGCATAAAAAGATGAGGTCAGATCCAGAAGGGTCAGCTTGTGAAGGAGCAGCCATGCCTGGGGTTAAATAGTCAACCAGCTTATAAATTTAAAAGCTGATATTGAGATTAAAAATTGTGGCTGATGGAAGAGTATGAGAAGCCTAGAGCCCTAGTATTGAGAATGGATACTGCAAAGAATTCATATATACTATAAAAGATATTCTCTCATTTGGAGGTCAAACTCTAAACAGCTGAGAGATGATATGAAGAAGCTGCCTTTGATATGGGCAGTAAACAAAGCAAGTGTGTTTGCCATGAAAGAAGAACATTTGCTGAGGAGGGAAGGCAGAGGGGAGTTGGGTGTTTGATTATGGATCCCTTACATAAGGACCAGGGGAGCAATCTGGTCAGCTCTTTGACTTTCCAAGTTGTATGAGCTTGATAGTGATTCAAAGACTATTCTAATTCTCTTAGACTATTAAGTGTGTGTTTGTTGTTTTTCCATGAGTCTGTCCAAATCATGCATTGTTTCTTATTATTATGTACAACTGTAATCTTATCACAATTTGCAATATCACAAAACAAGTGAGATTAGGTTCCCTCAGTACTAATGACATTAATCTTCATCATTCTCTACTCATTGAGTATATTATATAGTCACCATTTTCCACATTCATGTACAGATTGTGGAGGCTCTTTGAGAGTATGTTAGTATCTATTGAATCATCAAATATTTTTGGTATTTTAGAGTCTGCAACTAAATATTCCACTCAAAAGTTTCTGTCATAATTACTGATTTTCATTTTAGTATAAAAAGAGCTTTTCATTTTCTCCATTGATTTTTTTCACTCCTTTTCTTCCTTTGTTCAAAATATAATATTTATACTGTTTCCACAAACCAACTTTCTAGGAATTTGCAAGCAACAACTTTTTGGAGTCTTTATGATACATTTTCCTGGGTCTTTGTTCACATGTTTATTTTCTGCAATGTTCAAAGCACATAGTATACTCTATAGTATACATTCTCAGAACAACTTGGTACAAGAAATGCATTACTTTCATCATTTGAATTTTAATAAAATTACTCATAGATAATGTTTTGTCTTTAAGTGTATACTGTAGATTCCAATGTGGGGCATTATCTAATATTGTAAACTTAGAAATTCCAGGAGGATAAATGATTTTTATATTATTTCTAGTAATTGTCATTACAAAAGTTTGTGAGTTATATTTATGTATACAGAGAAATTTACTGACTCTTCAAAGTACATTGTAAGTAAAAACATTTACTTTATTGGAAAACTTACAGTAAAAATTTTAAGATCAAGTAGATGACATATATTTATTTATAACTACTAATCAAGGGTCAATAGGATGCTGCCAAAATTGACTACATGAATTTGATGACCAGGACTCATTAGTAGAAGAAAAGTGAGTTCTACAACTTGTCCTCTGACCTTCCCGTGTGCACTGTGAGCACAAGCATATAACACTCGCACACACACACACACATATACACACTGGAGAGTTTGTATTGGTTAAGAAGACTAGCTGCTCTTCCAGAGGACATAGGTTCAATTCCAAACACACACAAGGTGACTCACAATCATCTAACTACCATGCCAGTAGATATGACATCCTCTTCTGGCCTTCATAGGCACCACGCACACAAGTGATGCACAGACATGCATCCATGGAAAACAATAATAAATACACACAAAATAAATAAACATTTTTCTCAAAAATTTAAACAACAAAAGCAGAAATGCTGATTTCTCCTAAAACCGTGTTTGACATTGTGTTTAGCAAGCAGTATAGAAGAAAGCAAAGTATAGAAACTCAAGTGAATAGAAGTTATTTGTCTTTTTCATTGTGTTTAAATCTTCACTTCTTACAAAAGTTGATGAAAACAACAAATTACACTTCTTCCCATATCTGCCAGGTAAATGTAGGGGAACTTTCCTCCCACTCTGTAGATTCCTTTTTCTTTCAGGAGGCACCAAGTAATCCACAATTTACCTTGGACTATACAAGCAGTAAAAGTATCCCAGGGCCTGTTGTGGAGAGCTAGGACTAAAATAAAACTTAGTGGTTAAAAGCAAGCCAGCTAAACTATTAAAAGCATTCCCTGTTCACATACAGCTTGCTTTAAGATTATAACTAAACACCTGGTATGAACTGCAGCTTTCTATACATTGCTGTAGAATCAGATTAAAGCAACCATGGGTTGTAAAGAATGCTTCTCTAACACCTTAAGCATCTAAACAGCACATTAAAATATTAGTCACAAAATTAACCAATAGCATGAATCCATGGCGGGTCACACCCCCACTGAGAGCATATAAAAGGCTTTCCCTGCAGGGAAAACCATACAGACTCAACTCTCTTACACTCCTTCTCGACCAAGAACAACCTCAACAACCAACACCATGTGTGGGTACTACGGAAACTACTATGGAGGCAGAGGCTATGGCTGCTGTGGCTATGGAGGCCTGGGCTGTGGCTATGGAGGCCTGGGTTATGGCTATGGAGGCCTGGGCTGTGGCTATGGAGGTCTGGGCTGTGGCTACCGTGGACTGGGCTGTGGCTATGGCTGTGGCTATGGCTATGGCTCACGCTCTCTCTGTGGATGTGGCTATGGATATGGCTCTGGCTTTGGATCTGGATTTGGTGGCTACTATTGAAGATACCATGGGAGTCTCTAACCTGCTCCATTTGTAACTTTGGACTCCTAGTTCTGAACTCCACATGCACTGAGCCTCTTCTCTGAAGATGACACTGCCAAGAATCCTATCATGATATGCTGTGACTTATGCAGAGGACACATCCTCCCTGGATGTAGCTCATAAAGGAGGGAATGAAATTTACCTGCCCTCTCTCACTTCTATGGTTCTCAGAATGATGTCATCAGACCAAAGGCCTTGGTGACTTTCATTCTTGTCCTCATTTATCTATTCTCTAATAAACATCACTAATATAAAATTAATCATAGTTTTTATTTCATTTGTTAACGTCAAAAGAGTCTTATTGAAGTGTTTGGTTTCAGCATCCGTGAGAAATAGTGATTATTTTCTTAGACATTATTTTCACTTACTATTTCTAGGCCAATTTCTTTACTATGTCCAAGTTAGTTCTGAAAATGTGTTTATGTAAATCTCAACTTTACCTTCTATTAGTGAGGAATTATTAGTCCTGCTATGTAACTCTCAAATATAGGCACTTTATGTATGAATTATTTAAAATAATAATTTCCAAAATACTCACATACCTCTTGTCTCAAAACCAGCTATTGCTTTCTCATCTTCATTTCTAACTTACAAACAGATTTGTAGTTTAAGAATACTTTATAATATAATTACACACATACACGATCACAAATACCATGTCACCTTTGGTTTGCTATTAAAAGGAAGCCACAGGGCATGCCCACAATGCAAAATGGGAGTTCATCTCTGCCCATCTAAACAATGGCAATGCCTCTTCCACAAAAGGAATTAAAATGTATCTGTTCATACAACATGCACTATAGGAATTTTATGTCAGGAGCCTTTGGTAAAATTTTCTGCATTAGACATCTGGAAATGAAATTCACTTTTTTAGCCCAGCTTTCTCAATTTCTACTGCTTCTTCTAAATAACATGACTCCTTTAAATCTTATGGTGTCAGTTTTGTTCCTCTGTTCTTCATTAGGGAAATATCTATTCTAACTAGAGATTTAAAATTATAATCATTCATATCTGCAAAGCTATTATCACATGTCATTTGAAATATACCTTGTCAACTGATTGGCTATCATTAAGTTTGTCAAATAAAGCATTTAGCATTTTCATTTTGACAAGACCTTTGTTAGCCTTTGCTGTAGACCTAATAATCTGAGGTACTCAGAAGGCTGAGGAAGAAGGATTGCAAGTTCAAAGATACCCAGGGTTACTTGTCTTTAAGGTAAAAAAACTAATCAAAGAACTAAGAATTCTATATTTTTTTAATATCAGTATTAAAATTTTATTTGAATTTATTCTTCCTTGGGCAGAATTTGTTCATGACACATACAATAATTTCTTTGCCCAGTGGAGCCGATTGTATTTTCACAAATAATTTTAATTTTCTTTTATGTTTCTAAATTTCAGATTTCTAAACCAAGGTGGCTTTCCTGCTCAGCTATGTTTATTTATGTATAATTAATTACAACAGAAGAGCTTTCCTTCTAGTGGTTCTCAAGCATCACTAAAAGGAACACGAGCATCTACATTTCTACATTTCCCTATAGCAATGTGGAAAGAGCCAGCAAAGAGACCATGTGTCACATGTGAGAACATACATAAGTTCAAAGATGCTTACTCTCTCAGAGTGACAGGCACCAGTAAAAATATAAAATGTAAGGAAAAAAAATATTTTACAGATTCCAGTAATTGAAAGTAACAAAAACAATAATTCATGGCAGTATCTACTTGGAAGGAAAGAATAACTCTGCTGTGGTCTTTGGTTAATCATTGGACATGCCAAAAAGGAGGCTATATATTTACGTTGTTATACTGTATTGTACCAATTGAAAGTTTTAAAACAATCATACAATAGAAAATACAGTACCAGAGAATGCTTCTTTCATTGATGGAAACTCTAGATCATTTCCATGTAAAAAGTTCTACTGGTACACCATAGTCTAAGACACAACTGTCTTTCCCCATATGAGCAGACTATAGCTTTGAAATTAGTAACGCTGGAAGAAAACAGTGCCTCATAACAAAATGATTAACTCTGTGTTTCTCAAAAGAAGGGAGAAGACCAGGTCTTCACATAACAGCAAGGATGTCAGTAGACATGTCAGCAGTCACTGTGGCCATTCTCTGACTGTCCAAGTCACATCCCAGGCATCCATAGCCATAGCCTAGGCCTCCACAATCATATCCCAGGCATCCATCACCGAAGCCCACACCACCATCAGCAGTACATTGTACTGTATCAGGATTAGAGTGTTCAGTTGTCCAGCTATATCAGCTTCTAGAATTCCAAGCTCATATGTCTTGGTATACCAAGTGAGTGTAAATGGGGAAACCACAGCAACTGTTGACTTCACATCAGCAATTAACTGGTATTGAAGCCATCTAAACTTTCTCTTACTACGAATATACTTAAGAAAATATGGTCATGAGTCAAAGAATATAAAATAATATGTCCTTTACAAAAGTTCTTCCCCTGATTTGGTGAATTTTTGCTCCTGATGCCAAAGTTAATCCATTTCTACTTAACATAAACAATAATGTTGGCATGTATTTTAACTCCAAAGAATTGTCATCTTTAAAAATGTCTTCCTTTCTGTCATGATGTATATAATCCCAGAAAGAAGCTGATTACTTTAAAGGTGCAGAGGAAAATGGGGAAAAAAAACTTTTTGGGCAAATTACAGGGTGTTAAAGGTGTCATTGCTGACTTTTTAAGGTAACCACCAATCTATGGATATGTCAATTGGTCATTTGGAGATGGATATTTACAGATAAGTATTGGAAATGTGATGCCATATTAATGCAAGAAAATTACATATCTAAGAAAAGGGAGGTGATGTAGTGAATCTAAGAACACTTACCTGGTTGTTCATTGTGATAGTTTGAATGTAATGAACACCAATAAACTCATAGAGATTGGCAATATTAGGAGGTGTGACCTTGTTGAAGTATGTGGTCATGTTGGAGGAAGCATGTCACTGTAGGGGTGGACTTTGAGGTCTCAATATGCTGAATCCTTACCCAGTATCTCATACCTGTTGCTTGCAGGTAAAGTGTATGCTTCTCAGCCCCTTCTCCAGTTCCATGTCTGTCTGCACACTACAATGCTAATATTGTAGTGATAATATTAGACTAAACCTCTGAAAAAGTAAGCCACCCCAATCAAATGGCTTTTCATCTTTATAAAAGTTGTCATGGTTCTGCCCCATCTCTCCTCTCTTCAGAAGAGGTGGTTGTGGCCTGCTCTCCTCTCCTCTACCTCTGTTCTCTCTCTCTCTCTCTCTTCCTCTCTCTCTCTCTCTCTCTCTCTCTCTCTCTCTCTGTCTCTCCCTGTGTGTCTCTCTGTCTCTGTCTCTCTTTGTCTCTCTCTCTGTGCCTCTCTGTCTCTCTCTCTCTAACTTTTACTGAATAAACTATATCCAAACTCAAAAATAAAGAAAGAAATTGCCATGGTCATGGAGTCTCTTCACAGCAATAGAAAAGATAAGCATTTGCCATCACAACTGAGAGCAAAACATGGAAGAAAAATAAGAATAAAAAGTGATGCTGAACAATTGAATAGGAGCAGTAGGTTAAAAAAAATATTGAAATTAAAGCAAAAGTGTGAAGCTGTGAGAAGAGACATGGTTGGTCGTCACTCAGCAATAGAAGAGGGTGGTAATTCTGAATGCCCAAAACTCAAAAAAATGGAGAGAACTTAGGCTTAACATTTATTGAGACAGTAGTCTTAATGATCCTATATTAGCAATTTCAGGAGAATATACGGCTATCAAAATAAAAAAAAATCACAATGTTTTGGAATAGACAGAGATTAAAACATGAAATTGTATTAAATACTAGATAAAATAAAACTAAGATTTGTGGGAAAGATTAAAAAGCCCAAGGGAAGCCATTTTGCTCCTTTTAAAAGAGTATTGTGATAGATATGGGTCTATTTTCATTCTTCTACAGGTTGACATCCAGTTATGCCAGCACCATTTGTTAAAAATGCTTTCTTTCTTCCATTGTATACTTTTGGCTCCTTTATCAAAAATGAGGTGTTCATAGGTTTGTGGGTTAAAATTCGGATCTTCTATACGATTCCGTTGGTCAACTTCTCTGTTTTTATGCCAGTACCACACTGTTTTCATCACTGTAGCTCTGTAATAGAGTTTGAAGTCAGGGATGGTAATGCCTCCAGACAATCCTTTATTGTATAGGATTGTTTTGGCTATCCTGGGTTTTTTGTTTTTCCATATAAAGTTGATTATTGTCCTCTCAAGATCTGTGAAGAATTTTGATGGGACCCTGATGGGGATTGCATTGAATCTATAAATTGCCTTTGGTAGAATTGCCATTTTTACTATGTTGATCCTCCCCATCCAAGAGCAAGGAAGGTCCTTCCATTTTCTGGTATACTCCTCAATTTCTTTCTTCAATGCCTTAAAGTTCTTGTCAAATAGATCTTTCACTTCCTTGGTTAGAGTTACCCCAAGATATTTTATGCTGTTTGTGGCTATTGTGAAAGGTGAAGCTTCTCTGATTTCCCTCTCTGCTTCCATTTCCTTTGTGTATAAGAGGGCGACTGATTTTTTGGAGTTGATCTTGTATCCTGCCACATTACTAAAGGTGTTTATCAGCTCAGCTGCCAACTGAGATAAACCTGGCACACAGGTTACACCCTAAATGATCTGATTAACAGCGCCCCCATTCAGCAGGAAGCAGTTTGGAGAGAAAAAACTGCGCCCATGTTCCCAAAATATTGTTTATAAATATTCTTTTACATTTAAAGGGGGAAACGATATAGGTATGAATAACTTGCATTGGTATGGATTTTAAGGTCAATTTTGTTATATGTATATGTATTTCTTGATCTTGATTAAGGTATTGTGATTGTGTAGTTCATTTAAAAATGTAATGTATAATTAAGAAATATAGGTTAATGGATAATCATCAGTAATAGTCAAGCTTGTAGTCATGTTAGTTAGATTTTCTAGATATATAGAGATACATTTCAGTTAGATAGACATTCTTCATATCTCTCAAAGACTGCAGAATATGCCATTTAAAATATTTTAATATCTTAGGGTTTTTCATGACAATGAGACATATCTGCTCCTGGAGGCACCAATCTACTTCGAGAGGAAGATGGTCATCGTAGAGGATTCTTATGGAGTTTGATAGACATTTGGGCAAGAAACTGCTCTTGCCTGGACTGTTGCATAAACTGGACACAAAGAACCCACAGAGAGATGACTGCAGAACTTGCCTAAAGGTGAGATGGTCTTTCGGGGTTCCTGACTCATGAAAGAGTCTGCGAGACATTCTGCAGGATACAGCAGAAAGTGACTGAATTATCTGTGGAATTTCCTGCTTGATGAAAATGTCTGCTGGATACTATGGGCCTGAAGGCTGAAGATGGATGCCCCAATGGTACAGAGGAACTTTGGGTGGCTGTACAGTTAGCGAAATGTCTCATTTCTAGAGTTTGGATTTCTTGTTTGCTTAGGTAATATTATATCCTTCTGGAGTCTTTGATGGAGTTGAAGAATAGATAGGTAGTTATAGTTTTCCATTGTTATGATAAAAGATAAAATAGATATAAATATTGTAACTGTAATTCTTGCTTGATAACTGTTTTGTTATATGTAATTTTGCTATGTTAAAGTTAAAGCCTTCCTTTTTTTGTTTAAACAGAAAAAGGGGAAGTGATGTGGGAGTGTCATATATCAATCTGTTGATTTCATTGGTTAAGCAATAAAGAAACTGCTCGGCCCTCATAGGTTAAAACATAGGTAGGAGGAGTAAACAGAACAAAATGCTGGGAGAAAGAAGTTGAGTCAGGGAGTCGCCATGATTCTCCCACTCCAGGCAGACGCAGGTTAAGATCATTCCTGGTAAGCCAGCTCGTGGGCTAAACAGATTATTAGAAATGGGCTAGTCCAGGTGCGAGAGTTAGCCGAGAAAAGGCTATATATAATGGGCCAAGCGGTGTTTAAAAGAAAAAAATAAAAATAAATAAATAAATAAATAAATAAATTAAAAAAAAATAAAAGAGTATTATCAATAACTATACTTAAGAAAGCCATGGAGTTTGGAAAGCCACCATAGGAAAAAATGGGAGCAATCTTTTTGAGTGAATGCTCTGTGGGTAGGAAGAGAAACTCAATTTTTTTAAAAAAATGAAGAGATTAATTTGAGAAAGTTTCTATGGAGATAAAATTAAGTAAAATTTCCTATAAGAAACACAGTTCCTCAAATGGATTATTCCATTACAGTATTACAATTCCAATATGTTATTTCGTTATAATAATATTTTACAACTACTTTAGTCAAATATTTTTAAAAGTTAAGTATACTTTTCTTTTTATTATTTGCCTAAAGAATTTTAGCCATATTACTTGATAAGACTTTTTAAAAGTCTTAGACTAGAGAAGACAAACCACCATGTCATTTAAATAATATTTTCCTGAAAATGTATTCTGAGCTATTGATTGGTTGAGTACACTGTGATAAATGAGGTCACTATGTGAAATCTGAAAAATACATAATGATAATATCATCTAATTCAAAATTCTCAAACATCGTGATGTTTCTGATAAAATGTCATAATGTTTTTATTACAAAATCAATATAACAACACCTATTTAATCAAAGAACATTCAAAAACACAGATTTATTTGAGAATCATGGCACAAGTCCTGCAGTCCTGGTACTCAGGAGGTAGTATTGGTATAATTACATGTCTGAGGCCTTCGTGGACATCATTATGAGACCACCATGATGTCTACACACACACACACATACACACACAAATGAATAAAAATATGTGTTTGACTTGAACAGCAATGGGAAAATACTTTCTGGGAGACTTTTTGACTCTTTTTCCCCATTAACGAAGGTAGATGTGCTGCAATAAGGACAATTTCACTTCTGACCAAGTCCCTAATACAATGAAAGCACAAAGTTCCACTGAAATATGAAACTAACCTTGCTTTCTTTTACCTTCAGTAGGAGGATGCATTATCACACACACTGAAAGTGTGAGGACTCATTACAAAACTGTGAAAGTTCAGTATTTGAAGCCAAATCTTGATAAGGCAAGAATGCTTAAATAATTTGGTCAATGTAAATACATGATGGTAACTATAAATCATTGTATAGTTCCTTACATGAAATATCATTGCAATATTCATTAAAGTACTGACTAAATCATCATGATTTTATTTGTAAAAAATAAGTGGAGAAATAAGATCCCATGTGATAAATAAAATTTCTTTTTGGTTTATAGAAATTAAATCCAAATGTGGTTAGGCTCAGCTGTATAACAATAAAACAATACATTTAGCTTAGAGTTGATTTTCTGAAATACTTATTAGTTGGATTGCCATTACCATCAAGGGGATAGAAATATGTTTGCTTTCAGAAAAGGAAAGAAATTGAAACCTGGAACAGAAAATGAATTTTCAATGTGAGTGAAGAAGAATTGATTCAAAGAGGAGGTATGATTTTGTGGAATGGAGATACAAAGCAAATGATATTTTGACCAGGAAAGTGATGCCTCTGCCTGTAGCATCGTCATCAAAGGTTCGAATGGAAGCTTCATTTGTTTCAGAATTGTCTAGCTATGAGAGTATGGGATGTGTGCTGCTTCACTGAAACCCTAAACTAGATAAGGAATGCTCACATGAGATAGCAAGCCAAGCAAGCTTCCTTAATGACTGTGAAGCATTTTCATGGTTGAAAAACAACAAAATAATTAGATTAGTCATAAGATTAGTGAATAGCATGGGTACATGGTGGGCTCCACCCAGACTGAGAGCATATAAAAGGACCTCTTGAGGGAGAAGTATCCAGACACAAGTCACTTACACTCCTTCTCTACCAAGACCAACGTCAAGAACCAGCACCATGTGTGGATACTACAGAAACTACTATGGAGGCAGAGGCTATGGCTGTTGTGGCTATGGAGGCCTGGGTTATGGCTATGGAGGTCTGGGCTGTGGCTATGGCTGTGGCTATGGCTATGGCTCACGCTCTCTCTGTGGCTGTGGTTATGGATGTGGTTCTGGCTATGGGTCTGGATTTGGCTATTACTACTGAAGACACCACAGAAGACTCTAAACCTTCTCCAACTGCCATGTCAGGGTTCGGCCATTCTGAACCTAATATATTCTAAGCCTCTTGCTTAGATGGTGAGGTTCTACCTCCCAGGTTTCTGATACAATTTTACTGAAGTCTTGCCTTCTGCTTCTTTCTGTATCTAAAAATTCAATTTATTCTTTTGAGAATTTCTTGTAAAAAAAAAAAAGGAAGAATGTGAAATGCATGCTCTGGGTACCTAAGTTTTCATCATTTCATCATGGTATGATTTCTCACATATTCTGCTAGCTTTTAACCAAGAAGGTTTTCTTTTTCTAATAAAATTACACAACTGAATCTATAAATGTGTTTTTTTTCATTTAAAAATCCAGTAGTTATTATTTTTCTAAATGAATTAAAATTCTCTTTGTAGAGATTTTTGAGCTATCTGTTTTACATAAATGATTTTGAAAGTGATAATTATGGAAAGAAATATTTGCCTCTTGATAGAGTCAATTTGTTGCAACAAAACAACATTGTTTGGGCATAAGCATAACTATTTAGAAAAAATGACAGGCATATTATGTTCATTTAGCAAAACAACAGCAGTAAACGTCTGGCTATGGCCTATTACCATCCAGGGTTTATTTTTTAACCATTTTTATAGTAGAAAGGAATTCATATTTTGCTGTGGGACAATGGTTTGTACCCTGTCAATCATATTTTAATAAAACGCTGATTGGCTAGTAGCCAAGCAGTAAGTATAGGCAGGGCAACCAGAAGGAAAGTAGTGGTGGAACAATGGAAACAGGAGAAATCTGGAAATAGGAATGCACAGTCTGCAGTCATGACCTAGCTGTAGAGGAAGCAAGATGTATCTGCCTCACCAAATAAGGTACCGAGCCACGTGGCTAACATACACAAGAATTATGAGCTAATAAGTTATAATAATTTGTTAATAAGTGATGGAGGAAGGTCATTGGTTAATTAATAAAGAAAACTGCTTGGCCCTGATAGGACAGAAAGTTAGGTAGGTGGAGTAGACAGACAGAATGCTGGGAGAAAGAAGCTGAGTCGGTCAGTCACCATGATTCTCCCACCCGACACAGCTGCAGGTTAAGATCTTCCCTGGTAAGCCACCTCGTGGGCTACACAGATTATTAGAAATGGGTTAGATCAATATGTAAGAGCTAGCCAATAAGAGGCTGGAACTAATGGGCCAGGCAGTGTTTAAAAGAATACAGTTTCCGTGTAATTATTTCAGGTAAAGCTAGCCGGTGGCTGGGCGGCAGGAACGCAGCCCTGCTGCTTACTACAACACAGAGGGTAAAGCTAGCCAGGTGGCAGGACACAGCCCCACTGTTCATGCTACAACAAATAAGAAGAGCCTGAGATACTGGGCCAATCAGTTTATAATTAATGTATGCCTCTGTGTATTATTTGGGACTTAACAGCTGTAGGACCAGTTGGGACAGAAACCTCTATCAACAATATTCCTTTCTGAGGAATGGGCATCAAATTCAATAAGAAAGTAGTTGGTTACCTGTTAATGGCCTTACCATCATTGTACCAGTAGGATCACTTTGTGTAGCTAATCAGAATTATTGCGCTGATCTTATCTTAAGAAGATTGTTGGTGAGGAAGGATTTCTCTGGATTGTTTTCTGCGAAGAATTAACTTTGGAAATATGTTTATCTTTTGGAAGCTTTAGCAGTTCATGTAGATTCTTGATGTGCATTCAAGTCATCTGTGCTATTGTTCTAGTAAGGCCCATGGGTTAGAGGCAATGTTATCTATATGCATAAATATGGGCAAAATGAAAGGTTTTTATAATCTTCTTGCCTTTGGTAAAAATCAAACCATAGTGTTGTTTGAATGTTTTGATCCCCACACCTGATAAACTAGTTCATAACATTTAAGTTTAACTTTCCATAACATATGTGAAAACACACAAAAAAAGAACAGTGTGTTTGCTTGTGGCAGAAGGAGAAGGGTTGGTCAAGTTCCTGAAAGATACTTATTTTCCTCTGAAATTTTGCTAGTATAAATGTTTCTATCAGTGACCTGGTCTTCTGAATTAGAATAATCACTAAGTATTATAGATTTGTTCTAGCTTATTTCTTTAAATGCTTCTAGACTCTTCCTGCAAAACTCTTCCAAAGGCACAAGGCATGCAAGCAATAACAAACACCCTATTCTGGATAATGATTTCTGAATTAGTTTTCTTCCATCATAGCAAAGGCCTAATATAAATCAACTTATAAAGAGAAAGAGACAAATGTTGGCTGACAGATTTTTAGGTCAATACTGATTATCCTATTTTGTGGATCTGTGGCGAGTCAACAGATCATGACAAATAGTGTGCCCCATACTATGAAAGGAAAAGAGAGTGGGGCAGCATTACAGGTCATTACAGATCCACAACCTCCTCCTGTGGTTCAAGTTCAGTGACCACAGATCTCCTACCAGAACTCATACTATTCTACTTCCTCCAAATAGTGCCATGCTAAGGAGCAAGCCTCCAATAGTTTCACCTTTAGTAGTTCATGATCCATCAATTCTGTAAAGAAGAAATAAAACATACTTTATGATAAACACCTTAAAACTAAAAATGAAAAGAAGAGAGAGAAGATGGAGAGATGGGGGAGAGGACTCTTCCACATTCAAGTTATGAAACCTTGTTCTGATGTCAGACTGAACCATAAAGTACTGAGGAGTGTTTCTGTGATTCCCTAATGATAATGTTGATTCTCTAGACCTGAATCATTTGTGCCAACAACGTAGTCCTTTCTGAACAGATGCTTTCTTTCTGAGAATCTGAAGTTTTGCTTATTTTTTTCAAATCCATCTTCAGGAAAAGCACTCAGGATTGAATAATAACGGGGTTCACTTTGCAAGAACAATGAGTTTATGTGACTTCTGTTTGGAGTAAAGCTTGAGTCATGACTGGGAGAGAATATGAGAAAATCAACACATAAATACATTAAGGCATTTGTTTGTATTTTCTCCTTATGTCCTTTGAATGTAATGTTACTATTTTATGATGTGAAACGATTTCTAATGATATTCTGTTATATTATCAGAGAGGCCTCATCCAGCAACTAAGAGGAACACATACAGATCCACAGACAAACATTAGGCAGAGCTTGCTTATCCTACATACAGATCCTGCATAAGAGATACAGGAAGGATTGTAGAAACCAGAGGGTTAGAGAACGCCACAAGAACATGGTCTACAGAATCAAAGACCATGGCTCGTGGGGGCTCACAGAGACTTAAGCAGCAATCACAGAGCCTGCATGGTCTACGCTAGATCCACTGCATAAATGTTATGATTGTGTAGCTTGGGTTTTTTTGTGGGACACCTAACAAAGGGAGTCAGGGTGTCTCTGAATTTTTTGCCTGCTTTTGTAAACCTTTTCCTCTTACTGGGTTGCCTCATTTAGAATTGATATGAGAGTTTGAGCCTAGTCTTATTATAACTTGTTATGCCATGTTTGGCTGATTTCTCTGGGAGACCTGCTCTTTTCTCACAGGAAAGAGAGAAAGAGTGGTTCTGAGAGAAAAGGAAGGTGGGAGGAAGGGACTTGGGGAATAGAAGGAGGGGTAATACATGAAAGAATAATTAATTTTTTAAAAAATCCAAAAATATAAAATTAGTTATACAGCATAAAATAATAAATTGATATGAATAAATAATAAATAGAAGGAAAATCAGTTCTTAGCTTAACAAAGTTTATTGTAAATATGCAGAATAAAATTAATATTTTTGTCCTTCTCCAAAGCTATGGAATAAATAGCTAGCAATGCTGGGTATAGATGGAAGCCAATGTATTTCTGGCCATCACAGCTTCTTCTTATTTCAGTTTTGTGTGGTGCTGCTAGGTCTTGGGATCTAAAGCTGGAGGATCTTCATATCATACAAGTAGGGAGCAAGCTATGCTTGAGCTCCTTAATAGTAGTAGCCAAATCCAGACCCATAGCCAGAGCCATATCCATAGCCACAGCCACAGAGAGAGCGTGAGCCACAGCCATAGCCACAGCCATAGCCACAGCCCAGTCCACGGTAGCCACAGCCGAGACCCCCATAGCCATAACCCAGGCCTCCATAGCCACAGCCCAGGCCTCCATAGCCATAACCCAGGCCTCCATAGCCACAGCCCAGGCCTCCATAGCCACAGCCCAGGCCTCCATAGCCACAGCCCAGGCCTCCATAGCCACAGCCCAGGCCTCCATAGCCACAGCAGCCATAGCCTCTGCCTCCATAGTAGTTTCCATAGTATCCACACATGGTGCTGGTTGTTGAGGTTGTTCTTGGTAGAGAAGGAGTGTAAGAGAGTTGAGTCTGTGTGGTTCTGCCTGCAGAGAGGCTTTTTATATGCTCTCAGTGTGGGTGGAACCGACCATGTGCTCCTGCCGTAGGCTAATTTTAAGACTGATCTAAGTTCATTGAATTTTTTCCTCGACCATATGACAAAACCTCAAAGTTATTAAGGAAGCTTGTTTTGTTTGTCAACTAGGTGTCCCATGAAACAATTCCACACTAATGATTTGGGGACACTAATACACAGAAATGTTTATTGTGCCTGCTGCATGCACCTGTGAACTGTGGAAGCTACATGTGTGCTAGTTTATCACAAAATGAAATGTCTTTCTTTCCCTTGAGCATCCCAAAGTAGCCATTTGAAGCAGTACACTTCATCCTTGTTATTTACCCAAAATATTTTTTGTTCTTTAGTGTTTTTACTGTCTACCAATAACAACAGAAAAATTTGCAATGTAATACATTTCTATAATGCAATTAACAACAATCCCTGAATTTTATTTTAAATTTTTATTTATTTTTTAAAAACTTTGTAAAAACTTGCAGTGAAGCAATAGGCTAAGGCAATTTTGTGTCTGAAATTTTAATTACATCAATTTTTTCTTTTAGATTTTTGATTATTCTTTTCATGGACATAAAAAGAAGCCATTAGGGGGGCTGGAGAGATGGCTCAGAGGTTAAGAGCATTGACTGCTCTTCCAAAGGTCCTGAGTTCAATTCCCAGCAACCACATGGTGGCTAACAACCATCTATAATGAGATCTGGTGCCCTCTTCTGGTATGCAGGCAGGCATGGAAGGAATGTTGTATACATAATAAATAAATAAATATTTAAAAAAAAAAAGAAGCCATTAGCTTCCTATACAGTTTTCAATTTTTCCTCAGGTCTATCACTATAAATGATAATAATATTATTCAGTAAATAAAACTTCATAAATTATGGTTTTTGATAAATACCATATTTTAGCTTTTTAAAAGTTTATGTGATTTTGCCAGTTATGTTTATAAAATTTGTGAGAACTGAAATGTTATTTTTTCTATGACTTAAAAAATCATCGATCAGCAATTGCTAAGAAAATTGCCCATATTTTGTGATTTATAGTAAGTTAATTTTGTCTGGGGCATTTCTCCCTTCAGACAATTGATTTCACCAATATATTCTTCAAAGTTAAATTCCTTTGTGACATGAAATAATGTTGAGCAGAAAAACTGCTTTTAGTCATCCATGTGGAACTTTTTGTAATAACCATTAAATATTAGATGACTTTGTTATTTTCACTGGACCGTCCAGGCTGTGAAGACACACAACAGAGCATTTTCCCACTGTGTAAAAATAACCAAGATCACTTCATTCTACAGACATGTCATAAACAATGAACTGAAGCATGGGCCAAAGATGCTTTGTATTGAAATATCATTTTCCCATGGTTTCCCAGCAAGGCCAAATAGCCAGTATTTCATTATGAAGCAATGTATCAGGTTGAAGGCAGGAAGCCATATACATGAAGGTAAGTGGCCTTTGGAATTCCAGACACAAGATAAATTCAATCTGGTTTATCTACCCTGAAAAGCAATGCAAATTAGAAAACTTAAAATAATCTTAATAATAAAGCAGTATCTCCCTCTTAGTAAATAAAATGCACTCATTCTCCATACACTCTGGCAGTCTTTCTGTTTATTTGGTTGCCAAATGTCGCTTTGTAAACAACATGCACTAATGTGCCAACATATTATTTCAGTCCCTCCTTAGTGACTCATAGGAAGTCTGTACTCTGTCACTTTAAATTTTCCAAAAGTTAATATCAATTGCCGCAGATCTCATACTTTACAGTCAACCAGCTGTCATGATGAAACCTGAATTTTGAAATGGTCACTAATTAAAATAATATGAAGTCATTTTCAATTTTATATGTAAAAAGTTTTTGTAAAATTGCAAATAGTGACGAGACGAGCAATCATGTAAATACTTTCACACCTGGTAAATGTCAATAGAAATTACAGCTTTCCACATAAGTCAAGGCTAGAAAATTTAGAATCAATTTTAAAGAGTCATTTTTGTCTTATAAAGTATTAATGTTTAGTTTTATAATCAGTGAGTGGTTTATGTGCATTAAAACAATCTGTTTTAATGAGTAACATTTATTCCTGAGAATTTTTGCATTTGTATCATAATTGAGAATTACAGAAATCTTTCATGGACCATCTCTATGCTCCACTTGCCAACATCACCACCCATCATCCAGTATGCTATACACAATGGCACACCCATTGCAACATATGAATTACGCCCATGCATCATTATCTCCCAGAGTCCATAGTTAATGTTCACTCTTAATAATAAATCTTCTTTGACGTTGACAAGTGTTGTGTGGCCTGCATTCACCACTACAGTTTCATTGTTTTATAGCCCTGGAAATTCTTTCTTATGCCTGCGTGGATGTTGCCGTGTAGCTCTTTTTCAAAAGGTTCTGCACGCCTACTGCTCTGAAATATAATTATTACTTCCCACAAACAAGCCAAAAGAACTCTTTACCTAGTGAAATCGTCTTTAGTTTTCCGAAGTGTATACATCATTCACTATTATACTGTATAAAGAATTCATTTACAAAGTATTTCTAAAATACATGCTCCACTTTTAACTTCCTTTTCTTCAACCACTTGGACTTTCGACACTCAGCATTCCTGTGGAGCCTACCCCAATTTCATCTCACTTTATTTTTTGATATTTTGTTTTAATTCTGAGACACGGCCAGGCTGGTCAACTATCTAAAACCCTGGAACACTCAGTATTCAACTACATTTCTTGTGATTTCTTTTACTACTTGTTTATAGAGTTTTAACTCAATCTCAAACATATTCTTAATATATATGTTTGTATATCCTAACTGGTGAATGATTTAATTCTTTATCTTTAAATACATAGATAGCTAATATCACCAAGGCAAAGCTCACAATTTCTAGGGACACCAAATGATATGTTTTTCCATCACATACATTAAAGAAAATAACATCAAGTCCTTGCAACAAAGGGTAGGTATCCTTCACATATCTCTCTGGGATTGCATTGGCTATCCATCAGGAGGCTTTCCCTGACTCTGCATGCTCTCCTACAGAGAGATTTCCTATTGTCTATTTTCTACCCTTTTACAGCAGGTGTTTACGGCATCTCAATTGATATTTGTTACAAATTTATAAACAACCAAGATGTTATCTTTTAAATTTTTTGACAGTTTTGTGGATATGCTTTCAGGAAAAGACACTTTGCATTGTATAAAAAATGCAAGGAATCTTCCCTGAGGGAGATTATTTTACCCACCTTCTGTATTCCTTATTTCCCTGTAGTTCCATGTCTGGAGCTAAAACTTCTTGAGATTTACCCCTTCCATGTTAGTATGTGTCTTAGTTATGGTTGCTATTTCTGTGCTGAAACACCATGACCAAAAGCAGCTTAGGAAGGAAAGGATTTATTTGGTTTGTGCTTACACATCATAGTTCATCACTGAAAGATGTCAGGAACTCAAACAGGGCAGGAGCCTGGAGGCAGGAGCTAATACAGAGGCCCTGGAGGAGTGCTGTTTACTGGCTTGCTCAGTTTCCTTTCTTATAGAATCAGGACCACCAGCCTCAGGTGCAACAATTCCATTGTGCATACATCAGCTGAAGCTGGGTACTAGAAGGTCACTTATTCTGTATGTTTTATCAGTTGTGGTTTTCTGCAACAATTTCTTCAGGAAATAAGCTCTCAGGCCAGATCGAGCACAGATGTTCTTAGCCCTGCCTCCAGAGTGCAAGATGTTTTCAGTAAGACAGACTAATTTTCAACCTTTGCCCTGGGGGTAACCAAGTGCAATAGCAATGGCTTGTAATGGTTTTGGAGTCTCTTGGATTTCTCTAATCAAACACTAAAAAAAAAAAAAACCTTGTCATGACTGTTATTTTTTTTTAATAATCTACAGTTCTTGTGGAGAGCATCATCCTCTCTCAGATGGGAAAATTCATTTAAAATGTATATGTATGTACATATATATTTATATATGTATGTATACACATAGATGTTTATTATTATGTGCACTTTACATGAGTTAATGTAATATGGTTCCTTATGACTTTTTCCAGACAGCCTTACTGATATTTTCTCCTTCTTCTCCACTTCTGTATTGACCTACCTCCCTCTCTCTAAATAAAACCCCTCTTTTTTCTGAGTAGCCCCTTCATATCACTTGTATCTCCCTATTTGTTTCTTGTTTCCCTAATGTTCCTACTCCCATAGTCCTATTTATTTATTTATTCATTCATTTATTTTTGCTTTCATGGTTTCTGCAGTTACATGAGGACATAGAATCACATTGGAAGATTTAGAACCGTACACCACAGATGAGAAATCAAAGTCGTTTTGATTTGAAGTTCTCTATTGCTAGGAACAAGGAACATGATTGAGATTTTTCTTAATTGCTTTTAGTTCTTCTTTTGAGAATTCTCTGTTCAGAACAATAGTCCATTTTTAATGCATTGTTGAATTGCTTAACTCTTTGCTGTTTGAGTTCTATATATATTCTGGCTATTAACTTTCTGTCAGATGTTTAGCTGACAAAGATTCTTTCCCATTCAGTGTGCCTTCTATTTACTCGATTGAACTTGAGATAAGATGAAGAAAGATTGAACAATTACTCTTAAATTTAGAATTAAGGCAAGAAAACATAAAATCAAAACTACAAAAGACTCGCAATAAAGTTCTAGATAGCTCTGTTAGAGAGTTTGGTTTTCACAAATGAACAGATGAGAGGAGGAAGATGGGAGGAGTAACTTGTTGCGGGGAAGGATTAAAATAATCTTGATTTTCAGATGTATTTTCATTAAAACTAGACTTTAATAATCAAGAGGCACTAATAATGAACCCTGACCTGAAACAATCAGCAATTATCTAAGAAAATATCACATTTAACTGAAATATGAAGAAAATTAGATATGCAGAGAAAATTCTGTCTTCACACTAAAACTTCAGTGAGGTTTCTGTTTCATTTATCTTTACTTTAACCCAATATAGAATAGGAATATCTTTAAGATATCATATTGTTAGTTGTGTTAACAAATGTTCCAGGAAGGTTAAGGATACATCTTAAGAACCTGGTAATATGGTGTTTCTATAACAAACATATATGAAATGATACCTAAATATCATTATTCAGACTATAGATGTAGTTTATTTCTATAGTTTTAATGTAATTTTTGTAAACAACATTAATCAAATTTGACAACAAATTATTTTATATGCAAGGAATCAAAAATATAATCATGCATGTAATAGGAAAATGTCACTTTAACTAAATATCAAACTTTATTCTTATTTTTTATACATTTTAATATATTTATGTCTCATAGGAACCCTTCAGTAGGTTCCATTATTCCATTTAATTTGTATAGCTCCATACCAATCCCAAAGGTATATACTATGCCCAAAGCCAGTATCTATTGAGAAGCAGATCCATGTCTCAAGGTTTAATGCAATAAATCTGAAATAACTACATACATATTTCTGATAAAAGTAAATATAATGATGATAGAGATGAGGTTCGCATGTATAGCAAATGAATGGCACAGGTAAAATACAGAGTGAATGGCAAAAGAGCGCTTTCATGTTTCGATTTCTATTCTAGATTTCATAATTTAATGAAGAGAAAGAGGTGAACAAATCAATGTGAGTAAAACACATTTGTTTGGTGATATCATTACTCAATATCAATGGTATTGAGCATTATAAAAATTATCAATTTTGGCACTGTTAACACAGGAGTCATGTATAAGTATTAAAAAAATCTTAACAATAATCATGGATACATTCTTCCTGAGCCATTATTTTATGCTCAGTTGTCTTCAGGAAACCAAGATAATTAAACTTGTATTTTCAAATACAAGCACATACTATGAATGCTTTGCTTAGTAGTGATTTTAAATGTTAAGATTCAAGAATAAAATAATATGAATTAAAAGGCCGTAGATGAACATCACTTGCAGGAACTATTTTCTTATCAAAATTTAACTCTTTCTTTTTTTTCTCCTTTTCCTTTTTTTTAAATTTATTTATTTATTAAAGATTTCTGTCTCTTCCCCACCACCGCTTCCCATTTCCCTCCCCCCCCCAATCAAGTCCCTCTCCCTTGTCAGCCCAAAGAGCAATCAGGGTTCCCTGCCCTGTGGGAAGTCCAAAAACCACCCACCTCTATCCAGGTCTAGAAAGGTGAGCATCCAAACTGCCTAGGCTCCCACAAAGCCAGTGCGTGCAGTAGGATCAAAAACCCACTGCCATTGATCTTGAGTTCTCAGTAGTCCTTATTGTCCACTATGTTCAGCGAGTCCGGTTTTATCCCAGGCTTTTTCAGACCCAGGCCAGCTGGCCTTGGTGAGTTCCTGATAGAACATCCCCATTGTCTCAGTGTGTAGGTGCACTCCTCGCGGTCCTGAGTTCCTTGCTCGTGCTCTCTCTCCTGCTGCTCCTTATTTGGACCTTGAGATTTCTGTCCGCTGCTCCAATGTGGGTCTCTGTCTCTGTCTCCTTTCATCGCCTGATGAAGGTTAATATTCAGGAGGATGCCTAGATGTTTTTCTTTGGGTTCTCCTTATTTAGCTTCTCTAGGATCACTAATTATAGGCTCAATGTCCTTTGTTTATGGCTAGAAACCAAATATGGGTGAGTACATCCCATGTTCCTCTTTTTGGGTCTGGCTTACCTCACTCAGGATAGTGTTTTCTATTTCCATCCATTTGCATGCAAGATTCACAAAGTCCTTGTTTTTTACTGCTGAGTAGTACTCTAATATGTATATATTCCATACTTTCTTCATCCATTCTTCCATTGAAAGGCATCTAGGTTGTTTCCAGGTTCTGGCTATTACAAACAATGCTGCTATGAACATAGTAGAGCAAATACTTTTGTTGCCTGGTACAATAATCAACTATATATGGAAAAACAAAAAAACCAGAATAGCCAAAACAATCTTATACAACAAAGGATCGTCTGGAGGCATTACCATCCCTGGCTTCAAACTCTATTACAGAGCTACAGTATTGAAAACAGCTTGGTATTGGCATAAAAACAGAGAAGTCGACCAATGGAATCGAATAGAAGACCCTGACATTAACCCTCAAACCTATGAACATCTGACTTTTGATAAAGGAGCTAAAAGTATACAATGGAAAAAAGAGAGCATCTTCAACAAATTGTGCTGGCAAAACTGGATGTCAACCTGTAGAAGAATGAAAATAGATCCATATTCATCACCATGCACAAAACTCAAGTCCAAATGGATTAAAGACCTCAATATCAGTCTGAACACACTGAACCTGATAGAAGAGAAAGTGGGAAGTACTCTACAACACATGAGCACAGGAGACCACTTCCTATGTATAACCCCAGGAGCACAGACATTAAGGGCTTCATTGAATAAATGTGACCTCCTGAGACTGAGAAGCTTCTGTAAAGCAAAGGACACTGTCACTAAGACAGAAAGGCAACCCACTGACTGGGAGATCTTCACCAACCCCGCAACTGACAAAGGTCTGATCTCCAAAATATATAAAGAACTCAAGAAACTAGACCGTAAAAGGCTAATCAACCCAATTATAAAATGGGGCACTGAGCTGAACAGAAAATTCTCAAAAGAAGAAGTTCAAAAGGCCAAAAGACACTTAAGGTCATGCTCAACTTCTTTAGCGGTCAGGGAAATGCAAATCAAGACAACTTTAAGATACCATCTTACACCTGTCAGAATGGCTAAAATAAAAAACACCAATGATAGCCTTTGCTGGAGAGGTTGTGGAGAAAGATAGTTATAATTGCTGTGGAAAACTTTCTTGTAGTCATAACACAGTCAATATAATAATGGCCTCAAAGTATAAGTAGCCATCTATAGTGGGCCTGCACAAGACTGGACCAATCAACAATCAATAGTCAATTCTGGAGGGACAGAGTGGTCGTGTTCTTTTCATGCGGAATCATTTTTCTAACAGTAACACAGCACATATAATACACTTTCAAAAGGATAAGAGCCTTGCATTGCAAATATCTTTATGTTCTTAATGTCACAAAGGATGGGGTAGCACAAGTGAAGTAGAAATTTTAAAGGTCTAACCTAAAACACATTTATCTTTTAACAAAGAAATAGAAATATATAAAAGGTCATAGAATCATAGTGCCAAGACAATGGCCCAGGGGGTATAGGAGCATGTCTGTAAGTGTGGAAACATGAGTTCAACCCCTGTTACTTAGGTGGTGGAGAAAAGGGACCAACATTCAACCATCTCAGGTTTACCTCTGACTTCCATATATGTGTTATGGAACATGGACAGACACACATGCACAATAAATAAGTAAATAAATAACAACTATAGTAATTTATGATATTGAATAAGTTTATTAAGAAAAGAGGAAAATCAAAATGCAAAGCTTTTGACAGTATTCTGCTAAAAGATATATAGAAGTTCACAGCATGAGTTCTAAATGCTCTTCATTCTCAGGAGTCACATACAGAGAAGTAAAAGCCTCAGGACAATATCAAAAACACATGCAAGTGTACATCTTCAATAGATCACGTCACATTCTTATCTTATTCACTTGTGAATAAGAGCCTCTAAAAAGGAGGTTCAGAAAACATTGGGACAACTGGAGATTTCTGAGACCATAGTTGGAGAGGGTGATACTGTTCCGTGGTGTCTTCAGTAGTAATAGCCAAATCCAGACCCATAGCCAGAGCCATATCCATGGCCACAGCCACAGAGAGAGCGTGAGCCATAACCATAGCCACAGCCATAGCCATAGCCCAGGCCTCCATAGCCATAGCCTCTGCCTCCATAGTAGTTTCCGTAGTAGCCACACATGGTGCTGGTTCTTGACGTTGGTCTTGGTAGAGAAGGAGTGTAAGCGACTTGTGTCTGGATACTTCTCCCTCAAGAGGTCCTTTTATATGCTCTCAGTCTGGGTGGAGCCCACCATGTACCCATGCTATTCACTAATCTTATGACTAATGTAATTATTTTGTTGTTTTTCAACCATGAAAATGCTTCACCGTCATTAAGGAAGCTTGCTTGGCTTGCTATCTCATGTGAGCATTCCTTATCTAGTTTAGGGTTTCAGTGAAGCAGCACACATCCCATACTCTCATAGCTAGACAATTCTGAAACAAATGAAGCTTCCATTCGAACCTTTGATGACGATGCTACAGGCAGAGGCATCGCTTTCCTGGTCAAAATATCATTTGCTTTGTATCTCCATTCCACAAAATCATACCTCCTCTTTGAATCAATTCTTCTTCACTCACATTGAAAATTCATTTTCTGTTCCAGGTTTCAATTTCTTTCCTTTTCTGAAAGCAAACATATTTCTATCCCCTTGATGGTAATGGCAATCCAACTAATAAGTATTTCAGAAAATCAACTCTAAGCTAAATGTATTGTTTTATTGTTATACAGCTGAGCCTAATCCCATTTGGATTTAATTTCTATAAATCAAAAAGAAATTTTATTTATCACATGAGATCTTATTTCTCCACTTATTTTTACAAATAAGATCATGGAGATTAGTCAGTTCATTGAATATTGCAATGATAATTCATGTAAAGAACTAGACAATTATTTATAGTTACTATCATGTATTTAATTATTTAAAGCATTCTTGCTTTATCAATATCCGACAGCAAATGCTGAACTCAATTTTACAATAGGTCCTGCCCCATTCAGTTTGTGTGATAATCAATTCTCCTAATGAAGTTACACAAAACAAGGTTAGTTTTACACCTCAGCAGGATTGTGTGCTTTAATTGTATGAGGGACTAGATCAGAAGTGACGTCTCCAGCACATCTACCTTGGTTAGTGCCATAAAGTGCATTTTAATATTGTTGTTCAAATCAAACACATTTATTTATTCATTTGCTTGTTTGTGTGTGGGAGTGTGCATGTGTGTGAGTGCATTGTTGTGTAGGTGTGCATGACAGGTGTCTGCGTGTGTGTGCATGGGCGTGTCTACGTATGTATGATGATGCTCTTGTTATGTAGTCCATGCTGCTCTTAGACATGGAATTATACCACTACCACATCCTGAGTGCAATAACTGCAGGTTACATGCCATGATTTTCAAATGAATCTGTGCTTTCGAATGTTCTCTCCATTAATGGGTGTTGGTAGACTAATTTTACAACAATTATTGACATCTTATCACAATCATCATGATAGTTATCATGATAATCTCAAAATCAGGTTTGAGAATTTTGATTTAGATGGCATTACCATTATGTATTGTTCATATTTCACATAGTGACCTCATTTACCACAGTACAGAAAACCGATTAATAGCTTAGGATATATTTTCAGGAAAAAAATATTTAAATGACATGGTTTTTGGTCTTTCTCTAGTCCAAGACTCTTAAAAAGTCTTAAAAAATAACATGGCTGAAATTCTTCACGCAAATAAGAAGAAAAAAGAAAAAATAAGAAAAATGTATACTTAACTTTTAAAATATTTCACTGAATTAGTGTCAAATTTTTATTGTAATGGAATAGCATATTGTAATTGTATTGTTATGGGATAATCCCTTCTAGGAACTATGTTTCTTATAGAAAATTTTACTAAATTTTATCTTCAAAAAAACTTTCTTAAGTTAATCTCTTTATTTTTAAAAAAAATTGAGTTTCTCTTCCTATCCAAGGAGATGGAATATTCACTCAAGGGGATTCCACCCATTTTTTTTTCTACCAGGGATTTTTCAGTCTCTATTGTGTTCTTAAGTATAGTTGTTGATAATATTTTTTTAAAAGGAACAAAATATCTTCACTTGGTCTTTTGAATCCTCCCCACAAACCCTGGTTTCCTTTTATCTAGTATTTTCACACAATATCGTGTGTTTTATTCTCTGCCTATTCAAGTACATTATGATTTTATTTTGATTGCTATATATTCTCCTGAAATTTCTAATACTGGGATCATAAAGACGACTGTCTTAATAAACGTTAAGTCTAAGTTCTCTCTATTTTTTGAGCTTTGGACATTCAGTATTACCACCCTCTTCTTCTAGTGCAGAAAGACTACCTACCATGCCTCTTCTCCCAGCTTCACACATTTGCTTTAATTTTAATATCATTTTACCTACTGCTCCTGTTCAATTGTTCAGTATCACTTTTATCCTTTTTTCTTCATCTTTTGCTCTTAGTTGTGATGGTGAATGTCTTGGTTTGGGTTTCTATTGCTGTGAAGAGACATTATCAATGGCAACCTTTTGCTTTTATAGAGCTACAGATTTTTATTACGTAGCCTAATTTGAACATAGAATACATATTGGGTTTGATTAATTTTTTTAATTTATTTTTTAAACAATCTTTTATCATTTTACATATCCAAATTCCTACTCCTTCCCCTCCTCTCGTTCCCCCCATGTTCCCCCAACCCCAGTTTACAATCTACTTCTCAGAGTTGGTAAGGCTTCCCATGGGGAGTTAACAAAAATCTGACACATCACTTTGAAGCAGGACTGAGGCTCTTCCCCTATATCTAGGGTGAGCAAGGTATCGCTCCAAAGTGTATGGGCTCCAAAATGCCCGTTCAAGCACTAGAGATAAATCCTGGTTCCACTGTCAGTGACCCCACAGACTTCCCCAGCCACACAACTGTCACCCACATTCAGAAGGCCTAGTTTGGTCCTATGTAGGTTCCCCCAGTATCAGTTCAGAGTCAGTGAACTCTCACAAGCTCAGATCAACTGTTTCTGTGTGTATCCCCATTATGGTCATGACCATTTTGCTCATATTATTGCTCCTCTGTCTCTTGGATTGGTCTATGGAAGCTCAGTCTAGTGTTTAGCTGGGGATCTCTGCATCTGCTTCCACCAGTTGCTGGATGAAGGTTCTATAGTGAAAATTAAGGTAATCATCAATCTGATTACAGGGAGAGGCCAGTTCAGGTACTCCATTTATAAAGAAAAAAAAAAACATTTAATTGTAGTGGCTCACATTTTCAGGGGTTTAGTTTATTATCATCATGGTGCAACATGATGCTGTGCAGGCAGACATGGTGCTACAGAAGGGGACGGGAGTCATACTTCTTGACCCAAAAGCAACAGGAGGTGGTATGAGACACTGGGTATGCCTTGAGCCATACCTCAGATCCTCATATCCTGGCACCACAGAGGCATACTTCCTCCAACAAGGCCGTACCTACCCCAACAAAGCCACATCTCTAATATCACCACTCTCTAAGAGCTTATGGGGGCTCATTGCATCCAAACTACCATAGTGAACAGACAGGTAAGTGTTTTTCGATTCACCACATCACCTCATTTGGTTAGTTATGTAATTTTCTTCCATTAATCTGACATTACATTTTCCATTCTTATCTGGAAATATGCATCTCCAAAAGATCAACTGACATATTCATAGATTGATGGCAACTTTAAAAATTCAGCAATAGCACATCTACACCCTATATTATTCTCCAAAAGTTTCTTCCATCTTCTTCTTTAAATTAAACAGCTTCTTTCAGGGATTATATACATCATGACTGAATGAAAGACATTTTAAAGATGAAAATGCTTTGGAGTTGAAGTACATATCAGCATTATTATTTATGTTAACTAGAAATGGATTAACTTTGGCATCAGGAACAAACAAGTCACCAAACAAGGTGGAAGAACTTCTGTAAAGGACATATTATTTTATATTCCTTGGCTCATGACAATATTTTCTTGAGTATATTGGTAGTGAGAGAAATTTTAGACGGCTTCAATGCCAGTAACTTGCTGATGTGAAGTCAACAGATCTTTTCACTAATCCAGTATTCTACTACACCCCCATCATAAAAATCCCTGTATACAATGCACATGGAATGAGGGGATACATTTCATTCTTATTAAAGGGTTCTGGAAGAGCAGAGTCCTTGTCTTGGCGAGCAAAGTGTGAGCTCCCATTCTGCATTGTGGGCATGCCTATGACTTCCTTCTAACACAAACTGAAGGTGACATGGTATGTGTCATCATATTTGTGTGTGATTATATTATAAAGTCTTCTTAGACAACAAACCTTTTTGTAAGTTAGAAATGAAGACGAAAAGCAATAGCAATTTTGAGATAAGAGGTATGTGACTATTTTGGAAATTATTCTTTTAAATAGTTTATACATAAAGTGTATATATTTGAGAGTTATATAGAATGACAAATATTTCCTCAGTAATGGAAGGGTAAGCTGAGTTTTCCATAAACACATTTTCATATCTAACCTGGACATAGTATGGAATTGTCCTAGAAAGAGTACATGTAAATAATGTCTAAGAAAATAATCATTGTCTTTCATGGATTTTGAAGCCAAACAGTTCAATAAGACATTTTTTGACATGAACAAATGAAATAAAAACTAGGATTAATTTTATATTAATGGTGTTTATTAGAGAAGAGATAAATGAGGACAAGAATGAAAGTCACCAAGGCCTTTGGTCTGATGACATCATTCTGAGAGTCATAGCAGTGAGAGATGTCAGGTAAATTTCATTCCCTCCTTTATGAGCTACATCCAGGGAGGCTGTGTCCTCTGCATAAGTCACAGCATATCATGATAGCCTTCTTGGCAGTGTCATCTTCAGAGAAGAGGCTCAGTGCATGTGGAGGTCAGAACTGGGAGTCTTAAGGTTACAATTGGAACAGGTTAGAGTCTCCCATGGTGTCTTCAATAGTAGCTGCCAAATCCAGATCCATAGCCAGAGCCACATCCATAGCCACAGCCACAGAGAGAGCGTGAGCCACAGCCATAGCCACAGCCATAGCCACAGCCATAGCCACAGCCCAGTCCACGGTAGCCACAGCCCAGACCTCCATAGCCATAGCCCAGGCCTCCATAGCCACAGCAGCCATAGCCTCTGCCTCCATAGTAGTTTCCATAGTAGCCACACATGGTGTTGGTTGTTGAGGTTGTTCTTGGTAGAGAAGGAGTGTAAGAGAGTTGAGTCTGTGTGGTTCTCCCTGCAGGGAGGGCCTTTTATATGCTCTTAGTGTGGGTGGAACCGACCATGTGTTCATGTCATTTGGTTAATTTTATGACTAATCTAATTATTTTCTTGCTTTTCAGCTGTGATGATGCATCAGCATCATAAAGAAGTTTGCTATTTGGTCTTTGATTTTTTCTTGATATCAATTCCTTCACTATTAATTTTAATGCTTGAATCACAACTCTTTACTCCTTCCAGTCTTTCCCATTTGACCTCCCTCAAACCGTCCCAATTCTCAAGTTAAAAACCTTTTATTCTTTGAGTATTTACATATATAAATTCAACCTGATGATCTTTGTTTGTTGTTTGTATATATGTATATATTCCACTCTGAAATGGAAAACCAGTGAGGAGGTCCATCTTTGAGAAAGACTACTTCTCCTTTTCCCATCAGTCATTATTCTCCTATAGATTTTTGCCTAGACCTGATGAGGACCTACAAAATTTCCCCATCAGTATTAACATGTTCATTGATATAACCATTGTGTACTAAACAGATTACTGTAACCAACAAACTGAAAGAGAAATAATAGCAGCCATATGAGTGTACAAAGAAAACAAATGAAACTATAATTTATTGAAAAGCAAACCACAACTTAGAAAACAAACCAGCAGTAACCAATAAAATGACTACAATTTATCCACACATTTTTTGGTAATAATTCTAAATAACAATGGCCATAATTCTCCAATCAAAAGAGATTGGTTAGCTAGATGGATGAAGAAACAGAAATCCATCTATTAGCTGTCTACAAGAAACTCATTTTAGCTTGAAGACACATAGCACCTTAAAGTGAAAGAATTAATAAAAGTACTCTAGGCTAAGGAGATCGGAATGAAAATAGGTGCTGTCACCCCAATATCTGACACAATAAACTTGAAGCTATCATGAGAAGATACAAATAAGGGCACTTCATTCTAATTAGGGGAACAAGTATCAGAAAATAACACAGTACTAAACATGTATACACCAAATTCTGGTATACCCAATTTCATATAAAACATACTAATAGAATTAAAGAAACAGATTAAAACAAATATAATAGTAATTGATTTCAACTCCCCTCTTTCTTAAATAAATAGGTGTTGTGAACACAAAATAAACAGAAAACATAATCAAAATACTTTTACATTAAATGGCTAACATTTCTACATAATACTCCATTCAAATGCCAAAGAATATACATAATACTCAACAACACGTAGAAGCATCTCTAAAATAGACCATAATCTGGGACACAAAGCTCACCTTACCAAATACAGAAAAAACTGAAATCATCCAATGTACATTATCTGAGCATTATGTAATAAACAAAATTGATAGCAAACAAAACTCTAGTAATCTAAAATCATCCTGGATATTAATGAAATAGAAACAAATTATTATTTGTTTCAAAGAACCTAAAAGCTGGTTCCATTTATTCCTTAATTAGTTGTTCTCTGACAGTTTTGTACACACATATAAGGTATTCTGCTCCTACTCTCAACAGCCCATGTTCACCCGTAGCAAGACCTGTGGTTCTCTGAACAATTGTCTTTCTCTCCTTCATGTCTGTTTGCTTTATGACCCAGGGGGCTTAACCAAGTCTGGCGACACCATGGCTATGGTGTCTTCGAGACCTTCTGCCATCTATGACCAATGTTGATAACCCCAACCATCTACATGTCCTGTGCACATAAAGGAGGCTCCTGTGAGCTCATGAGTGCAGGGGCTATTTCATATTTGGATGACAGCACACCCTCTCCTACCATGGTCCCTGAAAGATATTTGCAAAGACCATGAATCCTCGTCAGTGGAACTGAGAACTTCAAAATGGGATGGTATTATAGAACAGAGAATTTTAACTCTACTGATTCAGCTAAGGTCTTAATGATAGGAGACACATAGACTCACCTAAGCCTTCCTCAAACTAGACATTTTTTATTTTTCAATAACTATCCTTTATATAACAAAATTATACTTGTTTTAATTGCTGTCTCATTTTTGTCTCCCCCCCCACCAATTTTTTTCTAAAATATTTCAGTGAAGTGGTATTTCTTTTGCATTATGTCATTTCTTCTCTCTTGATCTGTATTAAATATCTTCCTCCAGAGCTGTACTCCTAAGCTGCATATATGAAAGCAGGTCTATGTTTGATAGTCACAGAATTAATAATAATCCAATTAATTAAAATACAACAGACCCAGTTCTGAACTAAATGAAGTCTCCTCCTAAAGATTAAAGGAAAATTTATGTAATAAAGCCCCATTTCTCTATTTTCCTCAAATTATTTTTATTTCTTACTATTTATTGACCACAATTTACTTAAATATTAGTAAAAATTCATTAAATGTATGTGAGGAGGCAGTATTGTATGACCATTCACACTGATTTTTGATATTGTAGTCCTATTTCGGACATCTCAATAATAGTTCACAGTAATTAGTATTTTAATGTATCCTTTCAGATATCCTGAGGTAAAGTTCAGAGACTGAAATTTAGAGATAGTTTACAATGCAATTAAGAGGGTTCAGGTGTTAACCATGCCCTGTATTTTAATCAGCTATCTTGGCAATCATTAGAATGTGGACATGGATTTTTTAATGATCTAATTTGTCTGTCCTAGTGTATATTCCAAGTGACTCAAATGAATGGAATTAAAATGTATTACGTTTGTGTCTAAATCAACATATTCATCTATTAATTCATCCATTGCATGTTTGGAATGCTATTTTTATGTGTGTTTCTTAGTAGGTACATTTTTATGTGATGCATATGTTACATCTTACTCTCTGCTTATTGAGATATTTGAAATAGAAATCATCTTTGTTTATCACTCCTCCCTCTCTTCAACAGAACTCCACAAGCTCAGCCCAGTGCTTGGCTATGGGTTACTGCATCTGCTTCCATCAGTTACTGGAAGTAGGTTCTATGATGACAATTAGGGTAGTCGCTAATCTTATCAAAGAGGAAAGCCCTTTCAGACACCATCTTGACTATTGCTACTGATAATTTCTCTAACACCAGGTTTCTCCCTAACCCCATAATGGCTCGCTCTATCAAGATATCTCTTTCATTGTTACCCCTCCCATCCTCCCCCAACTGAGTCTTCTTGATCCCTCATGTTACTATCCCCCAACCCTACTTATTCCTCCCCTTCCCAGTTTACCCAGGAAATCTAAACTATTTTCCTTCCTGGGGCTCTCCATGTGTGTTCCTGTTAGGGTTCCTCTTTTTACCTGGCTCCTCTGGTTTTGTGGATTGTATCTTGGTTATCTTTTGCTTTGCATCCAATATCCATTTAGAAGTGAATACATACCATGTTTGTCTTTCTGGGTCTGGGTTACCTTACTTGGGATGTTTTTTTTCTAGTTCCATTTATTTGCCTGCAAATTTCAAATGTCTTTTTTTTTTTGCACAGAGAAATACTCCATTGAGTACATGTACCACATTTTTCTTATCCATTCTTTGTTTTGAGAGTCATCTAGGTTGTTTCCAGGTTCTGGCTATTATGAATAAAGCTGCTATGAACATAGTTGAGCAAGTGTCCTTGTAGTGTGATTGTGCATCCTTTGGGTATATATCTAAAATTGTTATAACTGCAACTTGTGGTAAATTGATTCCCAGTTTTCTAGGAAACTGCCATAACAATTTCCAAAGTAGCTATGTAAAGTCACCCTCCTACCAGCAATGGAGGAGTATTCCCCTAACTCCACATCCTTTCCAACATAAGCTGTCATCAATGTTTTTTATCTTAGGCATTCTGACAGTCTTAAGATGGTGTCTCAGTATCCTTTTGATTTGCACTTCTCTGATGACTAATATATTGAGCAATTCCTTATATGTCTTTGAGACATTTAGAATTTTTCTGTTGAAAATTTTCTATTTAGATCTGTATCCCATTTTTAATCAGATCATTTGGTATTTTGATGTTTAGCTTCTCGAGTTCTTTACATATTTGAGGGTCATCCCTCTGTCTGTTGTGGGGTTATTGAGAATCTTTTCCCACTGTGTAGGATGCCATTTTGTCTTATATACAGTGTCTATTTTCCTTGCAGAAACGTTTTAGTTTCAAAAGGCCCCATTTATTAATTGTTGATCTCAGTTTCTGTGCTACCAGGATCTCTAAAACAATCCTGGACGAAACAGAACTTCTAGAGGCATCGCCATCCCTGACTTCAAGCTCCATTATAGACCTAAAAAATATAAACAACTTGGTACTGGCATAAAAACAGACATTTGTATCAAAGAAATCTAACTGAAGACCCTGCAATAAGTCCACCCACCTATAAACACCTATTTTTGAAAAAGAAGCCAAAATTATACAATAGAAACAAAGAAATCATCTTCATCAAATGATACTAATGTAACTGAATTTTAAACATAAAAGAATGCAAATAGATCCATATCTATTACCTTGCAGAAAGCTCAAGTCCAAGTAGAGCAAAGACCTGAACATAAATCCAGTTATACTGAAGCTTGATAGAAGAAATGTGTGAATTAACCTTGAATACATGGGCCCAGGAGACCTCTCCCTGAATAGTTTAGTTCTCAGAACACCATCTTTGCTAAAAATGTATTGCATCAAGCAATTTAAAAATGACTAAGAGCTTGGGTGTCTGTGCACTTCCTGAGCAGGTATATTGGTAGACTGTTGTGTTATTGTTGAATGACCTTGTCAACAAATCTTTTAGAATTTACATTTAACATTTACTTCTAGAAATTAATCTTTGAACAAGTTGAATTGTTTTTCATTTTGATCCTGCTTGTGAGAACTTCGCACTAAATGAAAAGGCTGAGAAAACACCTTTTTGCACGAGGTTTATGTGGCTGTATAAAAATGCCAAGTCCTCCTGACCATCCATCATCAAAAGAAAGGAAGTTAATCATGTCCTTAAACCACTCGAGGTGATTGTCAGAACTTCATGCATATACATTCATGGCAGTGTCCTGACAATTCTATATGTTTTTGCTCGTATTTGGCAGTCTTTATTCCTATTACTCTACTGAAGCTGTTATCTTTAGCACGAATCAACAAAACTTTGTTCTTACCAAAGTCAGATAACATTCCATCTAAAGTCAGCAAGCACACCATCTTCATCAGCCACTGACTCTGGAGTGCTGAATTCACATACATTTCTGAAATATCTTTCACCTGGGCTTTTCTTCTACTGTGCGCATTGTAATTCCAACCTCTGAAGTTATTTTGCAATCACCTAACTATTCCTTTTGAGTTTTTCTCATCTTTGACAGTGTCCTGTTAAATGTTCAACCTTTCTCTAAACTCTTTAGATGAATCACTTTGCTTATTCCTCACCAAAATGAATCTGCTTTTAATCTTCAATCTTACTTTCCATAATAAAAGTAAATAATTTATGTCACTGAATATTCCCTAATATTCAAAACTGTGTACATTTATCAACCAAAGAAATTACCACTGTTAATAAGTTTAAAATTGGCCCTTTATACCAATTTATTTTCTATTCATGCTCTTTATTTACTGTCCTACTATCAAGTTCATATTTGTTTTCTCATCACATTTTTATTTATTTATTTATTTAGTTAGTTAGTTAGTTAACTTACAAGGGTGGGTATATATTTGTGCACATGCTTATGTATGTCTCCCTCCCCCTCATGTATGTGTGTTCCCTTGTATGTTGAGGTCACTAGGTAACATACAGTGTTTGAGTTGACTGAGCCATCTCACCATATCCTGCTGGTCATTTCTCTTTAGTCTCTAATATGATGACAAAGTCTCACCCTTTTCTTGATTTTTGTCCCTTTGATTATCTATTTAAAAAAATCAGAAATTTTCCAAAGTATCTCCAAATTTAGGTTTGTCTAAGCCTTTCAGATGACTATATTGGGATTGTTTCATTGGTCAAGAATATCAGAAACAAACTAAAGTTTGTCAGAGTTCTATATCAGTACTGCCAATAGAGTTTTCAGAATTTCTGTGATCCTTTTAAAGCTCAGGTTTATAGCAGAATTAATCCTTCACTTTCTGTATGTTCAGGATTAGTAGATATAAGCACCAGTGTCACTCCTATGGGTGTGGATGTCATATAAACTGATGAGTATATGAATGCATGAAGCATAAATTAAAGTGAGCGATCCCTCTCTACACATGAAGGCAAACATCTTGATATTTAGTATATTACAAATTGATGCATCATCATGGGCTCACTTTAGTGTTTATGCTATTCTTTATCCTTTAAGTTTAATTTTGAATAACCTTAATTGACTTTTGATGTATGTATAAATTAAATTCTGACCACTGTACGCTTCCTACCCTCTCTAATGTCTCACTGTTCTCTACATGCACCACCCTTTCCCACATCTATGTTTTTTTTTAAAAAAATACTAGGTTTGTACTACCAAGAATTCATGTTTTCATAAATAAGAGAAGGCGAGAGAGACAGAGACAAAGAGAATACAAATAAGGAAAAACAGAAATTTAATAAGAGGTATCTTTGTGGGTTATATGACCTACTGCAAGCTGGAATTGACTTTAATTTGGCATCTGGAAGAAGTAAGCTAATAAAATAGGAGAAGAGTCTCTCATTAGAGGCACAACACATCTGTCCATGCATCCTGCCGCGAAACAAAAGTGCTGGCGTACTGGGTGCAGGGAATACTGTAGACAGCGTCGATGCCCATCATTTGTTATGTGAGCTCAGCAGAGAAATGCCCCATAAACCACTCACTTGATACATAAAATGATATAAAAACTGTGAACTTAAAACTGTAGAATCTGACCCTCTAACTTGCATTCCATGAGATTCTTTATCTACAGCCATGGTGGGCAGGACCATGGCTCTGAAGGCTTGGGCTTTGGTTATGACTGTGGCTATGTTAGATACACACATGCCCGCTTCTGTCCATGCTGTTATGGAAGATTCCTGTCTCAGGGCTTCTCTTGAGCAATTAAAACTCCTAATATACTTAAATCAATTTCTCCTGAGTATCTATATTTTCCTGGATTATCTAACAATATGTCTTTAATGTTATAATGACAGCTTTTGTCTATAATTCCCTCTGTACCAGAACTTATACTTCTTTGAATATTAATCTGAAAGTCATTTGAGTCACTGAAAATAAAAATGAAAACTGAACAGCTTTGAAATTGTGATATTAGCAAAAATAAAATAAAATTAGCTATTTTAAGTATTGAAAATATCTAAACTAATACCATTTGGCAAAATGTACAAATGTCAAACTATTTCACTATGGGTTATCTTTTCCTGCAAATCTGTGACTTTTTTGTTTATATAAATTACCTAAGCTAAACAAAAGGGAAATCTATTTTAAATAAAGTAGCTTATAGAGTGTCAAGAAAAAAATGAATTTACATCTGCATTTTTCAATAATTTAGATTTTGATGAAAAGCAATTAGAAGAACCTTGTTGATCCTCGAAAGTAATCAGTCAAACCACTGGCCCGAGAGTTTACTGGAGAGGCAGGGTCAGCGGGAACTAGCATGGCCTTTTGAATGCAGAATACACCTAGAAAGCTGGAATCAGAACCAGAAGCTTAATTTGCTCATTAGCTCTCCAGCTTTACTGAAATACGATTGAATAGCAGCACTCACAATTGCACACGTTAGTTGCAGCCTGGCGGCTTGAAATTTTATTTATTCATCTTATATTTTTCATCTGAGGTTGAAAAGAGTGGTTGGGATGTTGGGATGAGGGAAGGAAGGAGAATGAGAGGAGGGGAGGGAGTGGGAACTGGGATTGGTACGTAAAATGTGAAAAGACTATTGTGAAAAAATAAAGTGGATAAAGAGCAAAAAAGAAAAAAGAAAATAGATGTTTTTTCATATAATACATCCTGATTATGACTTCCCCTCCTTCTATCCCTCCCAGTTCTTCCCTAATTCCCCTCTCATCCTGATCTACACCTTGTCTGTCTCTCATTAGAAAACAAGCATGTTTCTAAGGGATAATAATTAAACAAAATAAAATATAAAGAACACATTGAAATAGAACAATACAAGCAAACAGAAGGCAAGGAGCTCAAGAAGAGGTACAAGAAACAGATACGGATGCAGATCCACTCATTCGCACACTAAGAATCCCACAAAATCCTAAACTTGAAGCAATAATATATATGTAAAAGACCTCAAGCTTAAAAGAGAAAAAATAAATAAATGAATAAATTTTAAGAAATAAAATAAATTTTAAAAAAGATTTGAAAAAAAGCCCTGCGTGACATTATGAGTCAAGGAACCTTCCAAGAAGCTGTTAAGCATCTACTGCTGGTCATTCAGCCTACATGTAAGAGTAGTTTATTCTCTAGTGAGACTTCTATGGAGAAAAATATTCTTTATTTGCTAGTGGTTATCAATTGGAGATTGCTTCTGGGTTAGGGATGGGTGTGTATGTCCATTTCTTCTCTCAGTTCTAGGAGCCTATCTGGTACAGACCTATGCAGCCCCTGTGCATGCTGTCTTAACTGCAGACATATGCAAACCCTGTGCATGCTGTCTTGACTGCAGAGCTGTGCAGGTCCTGTGCATGCTGTCTTGAGTGCAGACCTGTGCAGCCCCTGTGCATGCTGTCTTGAGTGCAGACCTGTGAAGCCCCTGTGCATGCTGTCTTGAGTGTGCAGCCCCTGTGCATGCTGTCTTGATTGTAGACTTGTGCAGAACCTGTGCATGCTGTCTTGTGTGCAGACCTGTGCAGCTCCTGTGAATGCTTTCTTGAGTGCAGACCTGTGCAACCCCTGTACATGCTGACTCAAGTACAGACCTGTGCAGCCCCTGTGCATGCTAGCTCAAGTACAGACCTATGCAGGCCCTATGCATGCTGACTCCAGTACAGACCTACACAGGCCCTGTGCATGCTGCCTTGGTCACTGTGGGTTTTTATGTGAATTGGTCCTGTTAAGTTAGAAAGCCTGATTTCCTTATTGTCTTCCATTATCTCTGCCTCTTATGCTCTTTCTGACCCTTCTTTGACAGGGATTCCTGAGCCATGAGTGGAGGTATTTGATGGAGACACACCATCTAAATATTCTGAGGTATCTCATCCTCTGTGTAATATCTAGCTTTGGGTCTATATATTCATCCATATCTGCTAAATAAGAAAACTTCTCAGATGATTGCTGAGCAAGTCAGCAATCTATGAATGTCTGAGAGTCATTTTATTGCTATATTTTTTACAGTAGTATTTGGTTTTACCCTACATCCCTGGGCAATCTAATCTCAGATTATTTGTCAACCAAGTAGTGTGGAGTATGGATTCTACAACATGGTGAGGATCTTAAGTCAAATATTAGCTGGTTACTCCCACAAGCTTGGTGCCACCATTGTCCTAGTTTATGGTGAGGACAGGACACCATTGCAGATTGAATGGTCTGTGACTAGGCTGGTGTTTGTCTTTCTCCTTTGGTAGTGTGCAGAGTACTTCCTTATACTGAATATGTTAGCACATAAGAGTGAAGGCTCTCTAGCGTGTATATATTCCATACTTTCTTCATACATTCTTCCATTGAAGGGCATCTAGGTTGTTTCCAGGTTCTGGCTATTACAAATAATACTGCTATAAACATAGTTGAACAAATGCTTTTGTCATATGATAGAGCATCTCTTGGGTATATTCCCAGGAGTGGTATTGCTGGGTCCAGGGGTAAGTTGATCCCGAATTTCCTGAGAAACCGAAACACTGACTTCCACAGTGGTTGCACAAGATTGCATTCCCACCAGCAATGGATGAGGGTACCCGTTCCTCCACAGCCTCTCCAGCAAAGGTTATCCTCGGTGTTTTTGACTTTAGCCATTCTGACAGGTGTAAGATGATATCTCAAAGTTGTTTTGATTTGCATTTCCCTGATTGCTAAGGAGGTTGAGCATGACCTTAAGTGTCTTTTGGCCATTTGAACTTCCTCTGCTGAGAATTCTCTGTTCAGTTCAGTGCCCCATTTTTTAATTGGGTTAATTAGCATTTTAAAGTCTAGTTTCTTGAGTTCTTTATATATTTTGGAGATCAGACCTTTGTCTGTTGTGGGGTTGGTGAAGATCTTCTCCCAGTCAGTAGGTTGCCTTTGTGTCTTAGTGACTATGTCCTTTGCTTTACAGAAGCTTCTCAGTTTAAGTAGGTCCCATTTATTCAATGTTGCCCTTAATGTCTGTGCTTCTGGGGTTATACATAGGAAGCGATCTCCTGTGCCCATCTCCTGTAGGGTACTTCTCGAATTTTGCATGCAAATGGATGGAAATAGAAAACATTATCCTGAGTGAGGTGTCCCAGACCCAAAAAGATGAATATGGGATGTACTCGCTCATAATTGGTTTCTAGCCATAAATAAGGGCCACGGAGTCTACAATAGGTGAACCTAAAGAAGCTAAGTAAGAAGGTGAACCCAAGGAAAAACATATAGTTATCCTCTTGGCTAAGGGAAGTAGACCAAATTGCCTGGGAGAAAATTAGGATCTTGGGGGTGGGGTGGGATGGGGGTAAGGGGACATGGGGAGAGAAAAGGTAGAAGGGAAGGAGGGGGGACTTGGGGAATCAGGAGAATTGGGATAAAGGAAAGGTGGATAGGGGAGCACGGAACCACAATTCTTAGTTAAGGGAACCACTTTAGGGTGAGCAAGAGATTTGACCCTAGAGGGGCTCCCAAGTGCCCAACATGAGGTTTCCAGTTAGTTCCTTGGGCAGCTGAGGATTGGGAACCTGAAATGACCCTATCCTAGAGCAATACTGACGAATATCTTGCATATCATCATAGAACCTTCATCTAGTGATGGATAGAGATAGAGACAGAGACCCACACATGAGCACTGGACTGAACTCCCAAGGTCCCAATGAGGAGCAGAAGGAGGGAGAACATGAGCAAAGAAGTCGGGACCACGAGGCGTGCACCCACCCACTGAGACAGTGGAGCTGATCTACTGGGAGCTCACCAAGGCCAGCTGGACTGTGACCGAAAAAGCATGGGATAAAACCGGACTCTCTGAACATGGCGAACAATGAGGGCTGATGAGACGCCAAGGACAATGGCACGGGGTTTTGAGCCTACTTAATGTGCTGGCTTTGTGGAAGCCTAGCCAGTTTGGATGTTCACCTTCCTAGATATGGACGGAGGGGGGAGGACCTAGGACTTACCACAGGGCAGGGAACCACTCTGTGGACTGGAGAGGGAGGGGGAGAGGAGTGGGGGGAGGGGGAGAAGGGTGGGAGGAGGGGTAGAAGGGTGGGAGGAGGGGGAGGGAAATGGGAGGCTGGGAGGAGGTGGAAACTTGTTTTTTGTTTATCTTTTTTTTCTTCTTTTCTTAATAAAAAAAAAGGAAAAAAAAAGAGTGAAGGCTCTATGTAGGCACCAGCTTGACTTCTCTGTGTTCTCTGAGTTTTGTAGCTGTTGTCATCAGCAATTGGGTCTTAACAAAAGCGGGGGTTGTTTGGAGGTTCCCATGGATCCCTTTGGTCAACAACTCAATTAGATATAACCAATTTTTGTCCTGGATGTTTCTGTTGAAAAGAGATGTCCAGTTGGGATTCTGTCTCCTCCATTATTTGGTGATTCCATTTATATCCCTTTTATACATGTATATATTTTACAAAGATTCTATTGTAATAGGTCTTTATATTACCCATCACATTACTCTTAATTTTAGCTGTCTATGCCCTATTCCCTCCCTTGTCTCCTTTTCCAATTGAAGTTAAAGTTCCTCCAACACACACACACACACACACACACACACACACACCCATAGCTATCTACTCTATTTACCATTCCTATCTATCGGCTCTCCAATAGTCCCCTACTCTACCAAACTTCTGTGGCTCTATGCATTGTAACTTGGTTCATATTGACTTGTCAGCTGGCATCCATATATAAATAAGTACACATCCTATTTGTCTTT